CACCCCTATACCCCCTTACATCTAGAATTTTAGTTTTCGTTTGCTGTTTTACCACCACGAAATCAGGAATTTATTATCAATTTCTCCTTGGTTGAAACCATGTTTTTGTGTATATCTTGATGTTGAAAGAATACATTTGTTATATGGAGAGAGAACTAAGTACGGTTTTCAATAAGACGTTCTTTGTTTTAATTAAGAGTATCCTCCCTATGAGGTCTCACTATCTTATCAACTACTTTTTTATCAATTCGTACATTAAAGTCACCCATCTTAAAAATTTATTTCCGGTCACTAATCATGCCATTGTCAATTCGGGCATAAAATCATCTTTAAGTTGCACATCAGTTGGGACGTACACTCCTACAATCACCACATGAAGACCAAATCATTTAATTTCCACTTTTACTATTCTGGGAGAAATAGCTTCCCAATTTGTAATTTATTTTTTATACTTCTTATGGCCTGCGATAGAAACATTACATTTTTCTCTCTGGTTTGTATCTACCCGGCCATAGAAATAAATATATTGTTTGGATTTCACTTTCCTGTTCTTTCTTTTGTGTTTCAGTGAGTACTGCCACATCCAGATGTAATCTGCTTAACTCTTTGAAAACTTGAAAGCATTTTGCGTTAATGCCTTGTACATTCCAAGTTCCAAATTGCTTTGTCATTTTTCGATTGCCTTGTATATATTTCAAGTCCGGCTTTGTTCCCTGATTAGGCCTTTTTGCATTCGAGTATTTATGAGAGACGAGGAGCTGGCCCGACTCTCAGTTCCCGCCATGGAGGAATGGAGGACCGGGTTTGTAATTGAGATGTCCATCCTCTAGGGAGGCTGGTTTCACAACACCTTTGTAGGCCCCCCACCCCTTGCTTTTTAGTCAGTTTTTTTCTTCCCAAGCCGAAATGCTCCCGTTTTAAGGCGTCAGGGACCCGTCATTGCCCTTCTCTCAATTACCACTCTCAAAAATTTACCTCAGAAAGTATCCAAGGGCAACCACGAGAGAGAACGGACATTTATAGATTCCTCTAAAGTCACATCCGTCACCCTTCGAATCTGTTTCTCCAATACTTACGTGGATTCTGTTCAGGGTCTTTTTTTGAGTTCTCTTCTCTATCGCTCTTCTTTTGGAGTACCCCATGACCCGAGGGGGCGACTGTGGTATTATGTGGTAACGGCATATGCCTATGGACATCAGCTTATCCCAATAAGGCCCTACTAAGCTTTGATATTCGGGCCTGACTTCTGATACTAATGTGTAAGTTTGATGGCCTTGTTCGATTGCGAGACTATCAATTTAATTTGGAAAAATATCGATAAACCAGACTATAGCTTGGGCCTAAGGTTTACACTACGGAAATCTGAATTACAAGGCAAGTAGCCTTAAATAGCAAGGAATAACAGAAGGGACGCTTCGCCACCGTCTCTTTAAATAACACTGGTCGACGGTGCTTTTCTTAAACGGTTAACTGTAGTTGTTTCTTATGTCTCACTAAACCCTAATACAACCACAAAAGTTGCCCACCGGGCTTAGTTATGGGTAATTGCACAAATGTTTCGTTTTGCACAAATTGCACGAACTAAAATATGTATTTCGCAGATAGCCACTTGTCGTATATACTGAAACGCTAGTTGCTTCCAAATTTATTAGAATACGGTAGTCGCCATCAATACTTGATATTGTAGATTCTATTAAAAATATGAAATAGACGCCAGACCGGCCATATCAGTTAGGCAAGTTCGGGAATTGCGAAGAAAAGTGCAGTGTCTCGTGTACACAACTCGGCGCATTATTTTCACCCTGCGTGTCGAGTGACAAAAGTATTGACATTACTATATAGTGCACGACTCATCCTCACGTTGCGTTCAAGTGTTAATTTTGTACGAACAGATTCCTTGCAATGCAGCGACAGTGTATAAACCATCCAAGCAATTTCTGTTATAAATGTGGTGAGAAAACTTTGAAGAGCAAAAGGCGGAATATTACTTCCTTAATAATAAAGGCATATGAATTGAATTTTGGGTGTCCAATCGGAGATCAGGACAAATTGTAGGCCCTTAATATTTGCTGTGCTTCTTGTGTATCATTTCTCAGAGATTAGCTTAATGAAAATTCGCGACGCCATACGGTGTGACCAGACGGCGAAAACCTGGCTAAAACCTCAAAACTAATAGTTTCTTTTGGGAACTTCTGACCATCTCACTCGAAAGAGGAATGTTGTAAAAGCCTTCTTCTTCGCCTTCTTCTACACTTCATGGGTTAGGCTTACGCATGTTCCGTCTCCACTGTATCTTTTCATCTTTTCTTGGGTCTTCCCATATATCTTTTCCTTCTTGGTTTGTAAGCATTTGCTAATCTTGGCAGTCTTGTTTCTTCCATTATTTCTAAGTGCTGCAGCCACTTCTTTTTTCATTTACATTGTGATATTTATGCTATTTACATTCAATTCTCGCCTGATTTCTTAATCTCTTATCTGGTCTTCTAAGATCCAGCCTTTTGTTCTTCGAAGGAACCTCATCTCTGAGCTCTGAATTTTGCTTACTCTTTTCTGCTTTAGAACTTAGCACTCACTTCCATATCCTAGGTAATTAAAATTTACAACTTGTTCTAGGCCTGCATTGTCTAGAATTATTTTTGAACGGATAATATATTCTCCCCAAAATACTAATATTTTGGATTTGTCTTTTGAGATGGTTAGGTTGTATAACTGCATAGCTGATTTAAGTGGTGAAGGACATGTTGTAGATATTTTCAGTTTCCTGAATTATGACTGCATCATCTGCATAAAGTAGAAGGCTTAAACTATTTTTCATAGTCAATTTTATTCCTGTGCTAATATTTTGTTTCCATCTCAAAAATATGTCGTTTACATATTTGTTAAAACGTGTCGGTGACATTGAACATCCTTGTCGAACATCTTTGTTAATTAAAATTTCTTCTGTCTTTATATAATCTGTTTTAATAATTATTTTTGAATTATTATATATACTTATAATTGTTTCTATGAGATGGCTAGAATTGCCATAATGTTCCATAATGTCCTAAAGTTTTCTTCTATCAACATTATCAAAGGCTTTAACGAAATCAAAAGTGCCATATGTTTTTGTAGATTGAATTCTCTTCGTTTCTCCATGGTTTGCTGTAGAACAAATACATGGTCAGTAGTTGACCTTCCTTTTCGAAAACCAATTTGTTCTTCGTCTAATATTTTTAGGAGTAATTTGTTTATAATTCTGGCATAAACCTTATATGTTGAATTAAGCAAGCTGATACCTCTGTAATTATCTGGGTTTTTACGATCTCCTTTCTTAAATATTGATACAACTTCAGCTGTTTTCCATTCGTCTGGTATTCGTTTAGATTGACAGCATTGGTTCATTAGATATTGTAATCTTCAATGCGGGAGTGGATTGCCATATTTTAGAAGTTCAGCATTAATTTGGTCGGTTCCAGTACCCTTCTATTTTTTAGTTCTTTTAATGATTCTTGTATTGTGATTGGATCAATGCTGTTGTTCTTTTCTCCTTCTTTACATTCCGATCTTTCATCTTTTTGTTCATCGTACCATAATTTTTTATAACGTTCAATCCACTCTTCTTTCTATACAACATCAATTTTCATTGTATATCTTATGTTTCATAATAATATGCGGCATGCATGCGGTTCTATTATGATTGATCAGATGTTTCATTATCTTAAATGCGGCATTTTGTCTTCCATGAACGTCATTTTCAATTTTACTTATGAATTTATTCCAGGATTTTTGATGAGCTTCTTTGACTATATACTTTGTTCTACTCCGTGCTGTTTTATAGTTTCCTCGAGTTAGTTCGTTGTTCTGTTGAACCACTTTTATAGTTTTCCTGTTTGTCTTTGATTGCTTCGGCAATTTCTTTGTTCCAGATTCTTACACCCTTTTTTGCTTCTAATATTTTTCTTTATACCAAGTGCTCCCGATGCTGCTTTCTTTATATTAATTTTTATATTTTTCCACCCTTTCTCGAGGTTATCCTCTGTTGGAACGTCCATTAAATATTGTTGTAGTCTCTTCTGGTACAAAGGCTCTCTTCGTGCAGAACCTCATAGAATCAATCAGTCGGAACTCAATGATCTAGTTCGTAATCTTAACTTGTCAAAGAATCAGGCAGAATTGTTGGCGTCCTGATTTCAGAATTGAAACCTCCTTCGGAAGGGAACTACAATTACTGGGTATCGTCAACGGGAACAAGGCCACCGATGCCTGTTCTCTGAAGCAGGCAATCTAGTGTATTGGACTGATGTTGATGCATTACTGAGTGAGTTGGGAGCCTATCATGATCCTAGGGAATGGATGTTGTTTAAACATTCCTCTAAAGTCACTTTAACCCTTCGAATCTGTTTATCCAATACTTATGTGGATTCTGTTTAGAGTCTCCAACGGTCATGTACATTTGTTTGAAAAAAAAAGTAGTTTTTGTTTATTTCGCTTTTGAATTCTATGCAATTTGTAAAAAAAATCTTAATCACCAGTCCAAATGTTTTCTTTAAACTTTTCTTCCACTTCTAATTTTCGTTGAACCCACTGAATTTCGAAAATTGCAAATTTAGAAATAACATGAGAAAAATTGTGCTACTGTATCACGACTTTTTTCTCTTAAAACTATTTAACTTTTCAAATCGCAAGCTGTAAACTAGAATCTCTTCTTTTCTAGTAAAATTGCTGTGGCTGATTTCAGTAAAATACTTTAATAACTCATACTGATCCCATTCTTTGTTGGCTAATATACAAAACACTATTAAATGTTCACATTTTCGTTTATTTAATTCTTCACACAAACACAACATTTCGACAACTTTCATACTTTGTCATCTTCAGGCTATGAAATACATGACGTACAACAATTATTAAAAACGAAAACTAATTACATTCCTTAAATTTAAACATATGAAATCCTTACTGACCTTCTTTTTGAATATTAATGAAGTAAAAATTAATTTTACTCCATTTACATCATTATACTCCAGCGATCCATGGCATGAGTCTTATGATCAGCTAATGATCTTTAGCTCTAAGACAGTCAATTGTCTAATGCTTCCGCCAGAGGGCATTGTAAATGCTAACGTGGGATTTCAAGCAATGTCCATGTAAGCATCCGCTTGATCTGGAGGGATTGGGGAGTACAAATGTTTTTAGGTGTTTTGAAGTGACATTGTCAGTCACTATTTAGTGTGTTGTGCCTATAAATCTACTAAAAAGGGTGTGAGCACGAGACGTGATCAAGAATTAAGAATGGTTAGTAGAGCGAATGATAATGTTTACGTCCTTTAGCAAATACGAGGGACACGCCTCTTTTTGACGTATATTTCTGTTGCAGTCTCATAATGTTAAAGTGTGTGACATCGGTGATGATGTGAAAGAAGCTCTTAAAAAATTCAGATTCCGTAAGAGTGTGGATAATTCTGCTTTGATTTGTAAGTACATACTGGAGTATTAACTGTTAATATAAGTCGAGGAGTGCGAACAATGTATATTAAGTGCTAATATTTGCTTGTTGCAGTGAAAGTGGATCGGGAAAAACAAATAATTTGTATCGAGGACTGTATAGAGGTAACAGACTTTAATAAAACTATATGCACGTGCAATATATTGTTATTGCTGAGAATATTTGTAACTTGCTGAAGAAAATCTCTTGCAGGATATTAGTGTTGATGACTTGAGAGAGACCCTGCCCGGACATCAACCACGTTTTATAATATATAGCTACCGAATGGAACACGGTGATGGCAGAGTTTCATACCCAATGTGTTTTATTTATTTCACACCTAGAGGTAACTTGAGGAATAATTCTTTATTATAGAAATATTTCTGTAGAATGGTCAACCAGAGTGATAATATAAGTGTGGTAGTTGTTATATTAATACAACAGGTTTCCTTTAATTTAAGAACAATTAATATAAATTTTAATATCGTATTCAGACTTATTGCGTTGAAAGTAAAATTAGAACGCTCAATGTTTTGTGACCTCTTGCAGCCACTTCATCTGGTGAAATTCTCAAAGGTGTAAAAATAGATTAGAATTAAAATAATGTAATCAAAATAATCATTGGAAGCACTAAAAGATCATCCAATTTATTAATGTGGGAAAAGAAACAGGAAACCGTTATTTTACTATGTCTTGTTAAGAGTTTCAAGAAAATATTTATATATAAACAGAAGGCAAAAGATATTGAATAATGGAAAAAGCAGTATGCAAATACTCATTTATTAATGACAAAATTGAAATTGAATTTATAATTATCAGAGATTCACAAACACAAGGCAGGGGATGGAGACTCACCTTGACTTACAAATAATTAAATCCTTGAATTTTCCAAAACTCGCTGAAATTACGAATCCATTATATGCAGAATTGCATCCGGAATTTTTCTCTGGGAGGGCTTCAGGTGTAGTTGACCTGAGTATAGTCCAGCTGACTTGTTTTCTTATAAAGAATTAAGTTATGTTGAAAATGAAATGTATTTTTATTTGTTGACTTATAGTTACTATTTATTACATAAACAATTAATATATTAAATGACTTCATTAGTATAGAATATTCATAGAAGCTGTATTTTTTAATATGTATTATTGGGGAGGTAATGAGGGGGAAAACATGCGTATTAAGCGGGTGTGTGAAATTAGGGGAGGGGAGAATGAGATAAAACATCGAGGAAAGCTGGCCAGAATGATAATCTTAGGTACTGATTATTTTGAAATTGTACTGAATTCTTTAAATGGAAGCAGACATTTTGTATGCTAGTAAAAAGTTGATTCTAAGTTTGTGTTTGTTTCATGGGTTTTAATGTGTAGAGTTTGTGAGATTATTCTTGGATAATACTAATATTATCTATCTAAAATGGATTATGAAAATTTAAATTACGATGTGACATGGCAAGGTGTGTTCAGAAATGCAATTTAAACATGCTCTCACCGGATGTTATTTTAGTCTTCACACGTATTTTATCACCGTTTTGTTTGGCTCATATAAGAAGTTTGAGACAGGACAAACAATACTTTGCGTTCCAATCTTAGCTAAGGTATTTTGTCGTTCTCCTTTTCAATTAAGGAGTGTTTTATAGTTCAAGTATCTTGCACTCATTCGTGGAATTTGTTGACAATTTTGGGTGTAAAGGAGAGAGTATATGGTTCACATTTGATTTCAATGGGTATTATTTGTTATTGGATCTGTGGAACAATTGATTGTAGCTTTAGAATACTGAAGAATAGCCAGTCTTTTTGAAAGGTTTTGGTATAAAAGTGGATGGGCATTTGTTATACATAAGAATTTCAGGAATGTTGGCTAGATTTTGCTTATGGTATAGGGTGGATTTGCAGAAAGGAAATTTAAAGTATGCAAGATGTATTTCACAAGGCTAATGAAACCAATTAGTAGCTATTTGTTCTTTGTGATGTCAAGAAAATTAAGAATATTGTCAAGCTCTCTCTTTGAAGTGAAATGGATTGCCAAGTTGTGAGCATTAATTCAACCTTTGATGTTTGTGTAATATAATAAATGTATCGTCATCATCATCAATATCAAATCAATATATAAACATTATCAACATAATGTTTGTGAAGGAGGGAGATGACATTTTCCTATATTTAATTAGTTACAAACTTGGTAAAGACGTTAAGGGAACTCCCTATGGGAGTATACGTTCGCTCATAAACAATTGGGCTGAATTGAAAACCTTGATGGATAGTATGCATTTGATAAGGATGATTTCGTGAAGTGGAAGTTCAAAAATTTGAGAACATCAAGACTGGTTTGAAGAAAATGATTTCATAATCTGGTGGAACGGTTAAGTTTTTAATTCTAAGATTAGGACAAAACTGGTATGAAACATACCTTTCATTGATTATAAGTACAGATTTAAAAATGTGGTGAAGGTAATTGTGAAGATGATGGTGCATTGTCATTGTTACAAAAGATGTTTGACTGTTTAAATAATTGACTGTCCTTAACTGGTAACTTAACCTGGTCTGGCAGCAATTGGACTATAATGAGAGATGTGGGTTCACAAATATGACCGTACCTACGCAGGACAAACCTGCAGTCTTCTCAGCACAGATGTCTGTTGGGTTATTATTATTATTATAATAATTATTATTATTATAATAATTATTATTATTATAATAATTATTATTATTATAATTATTATTAGTGGTCTAACTGCAGTGAAATTGGCATTTCTCTTCACTTTATTATACATTGTAGCTATTGAATCTGGGAATTCTAAATTTTTATTCATACTTAGATGCAAAATCAGTGACGTACATCATTGGGAACTTGCCATATATTTATCAGTCAAAATATTATGAAAAGGGTTGTTGTTATGAGGCCTATGATGCTGAACTGTAATATTCTTGAGAATTAAGAATCCCAATCTCTCTAATAGATATTCTCAAGATATTCATTAAATGTGTGCTAATCAGTGGTGTGGCACAAGTGTCCATCACCCAAAGAAAGTGAAAATTTTGCCTTATTTAAGTATTTCAATTTAAGACTAGAATGTACAGCAATTGTAACACTTTTTGGCAAGGATCATTGTTGATGTGTATTCTACACGTTACAGATAAAAAAATACATTCATATGTTTTACAATATAAAAATCACATTTATTACAAAATTTGTTACACGTATTATATTGCTGTATAGAACACTTTATGATCATACCGTGACAATCGACAAGATTGAGTTGATTATAAAACACAAATTGACTTCCAATCAGAACGAGAACAATACTTTTCGTATTTATATTGTTATTGAAAAATAATATAATTGTTAGAATTAAAAACCAAACGACTATGTTTAAAATTTTATTTGTCTATGTTTTAAAATATAATCTATTTTACTGAAATTTACTTTCTCTGATTTTTTTTTTCCCTCCATAGAAGATAGTTAAACATTCAATTGCATAAATAAAAAAGTAAATGCAATATTTAATATTCGCTGAGTAGAAAGTAAAATTTTTCAACATTGTTCATGTACGTATAAAGTTCAATTTAACAGTCACTACAATCCTGAGCAGTAAAATCAGAGTTTGGAAAGCGCAATGTGATTAAGTTAATATGAATTGGATGACTGACTAGCCATTAGTGACACTTTCTTTGAATTGTCAAAGCATCACCCATGGACTTCCTGAAGGGACTTATTCATACTGTAATCTAATTTGCAGGTATTATACAATACTAATGGAACCTATCAGATGTTGTCCTGCCCTCCATCGCCTTCTTTGTCCTTCCCTCTCCTTCTGTGTCTATCTTGTATACCTGCATCTCCTGGGAGTTATTTCACAATTGCAGGGGCAGACACTTAATACTTCGGGTTGCGTTACAGCGTTGTTGCGGAGCGCACCTGAACAGGGGTGCTTGGGTCAGTATGAAATCATAAACGTGCGTTTACGTGTGCAGGCATTTACACATTCCCATTGCACTACGCCTATATTCTTTCCACAAGTGGAAGCAATAAGTTGACAAAGTTTTATCGCATTTGGATGAACGGTATGGCAGCGCATTAAGTATGAACCAACGAACAAATATTGTCATATACCAAACAATGTATTATATAAGATTGAACACTATTGTTTATATGATTAAGTCATTCTTACTGAATATTAGCCATAAACAATCCATGCGCAAAATAAAATATGGGGAATCCCGAGAAGTCAGTTCAGATGTTGTCAGTCGCTACAGTGAGCAAGATGTCAATATTATACATTCATTTAAAGAAGTCAGCACAGAAGTAAGTAATGGAAGATTCCATACTCCTTTCGTGTGATTTGAATTGTATGTGCAGCAAAACTATGAAATGAAATGGTTTAAATTTTTATGATACTATAATTATTTATTGTGAAATTTTGATGCCTGGGGTCAGCCACTCCCGCTATGCTACACCACTGGTGCTGACTTATTTCAAAGACCTTTACAGACTGGGTACAATATCAGTTGCATTATAATAATTATTTGCAAACATTAATTATAATAATATTTAGCCGAAAGTGCCAAAAATATTTCATTTTTGTTTTGCAGTATATGTTGGATTTTATTGCTCCAGTTTATTGCTTTACATCATCAGTTGATCATACTAAAGTTATGACGGAATATCAAAATACATATGTTCACTTTCACTCAAATTTTCTTCCTGTCTTAAGAAGTAGCCAATTTTGGCATACATCCTTTTTCACTTAGGGTCTTCATTTCAGTCTTGCATCCGAAGTTTTGTTTTTCCGCACTGAAATGTAGCATTTTATGATAGTCTTTATTATGGAGATCGAAATATATACGGGCAAAGGGGGTCAGTTTCACCATTCTCTTTAATATTCTGAAGATTTCCTTGTAATGTAGAAGCCTTTTCTTAACTCTGGATTGGATAAAGCCTGTTTTTTTAAACATATGTAATAAAAAAAACTTATTTGAATTTTTTAAATGATCTTAAAATTATTTTAAATATAACAGTTAGTTTATTAATGTGATGGTTTACTCTGGTTTTTTATATCTTCAGGAGCATACATGCATAAACGCCCAATGGGGGAAAATTTGAATTAGCATTGAGCACATTACTACTAGTGACTGTTGGCTGCCTCTTCTGTCCAGGTGTGGAGGAGCAACAGCAATTATATCCCTAATAATTTTACTTGTAAACAAATGAGGTTCGTGCAAAATCCAATATCACAACACAGTTGTTGCAAGAACTTGTCTGTGTAACCGAGATTCACATTCATGTGACTGCTCATGCAGCATGGTTCGTTGTTCATGGTTGAAGTCCTTATTTTATTTATTAGAAGATAAGGTCATTTATAATGAGGTCTCAAGGACACAAAAACTTTTAGTAGTATGAGCACGAATGTACAGAACATCAGAAACGTGAAGCGAATCATTATTCAGGAAACATTGAGTGGGAAGAAGATTCATACAGTCAGAGTTATTTCACAGCAATATTTTCGATTTGATGCTTTGACTCTTTGGAATGGTTTTTCATTAACAAATTTACAATTTAGTCATTAGCAGGTGTCAGTTAAAAAGAGTATATCATTGGCAAAGAAATCTAATGTAGGTCTATTGACTGAACTTTTAGGAGAGCAGTCCAGAGAATTCTTCAGATACTCCTGGTCTGGAATAGTATACCTTTGTAATTGATGGACCAATAGCTGAAAATCAAATTGTAATGGATAGCCAAGAACTGATAATTGCGATTATTTAGAATATGATCATGGCTGGCATGTATAGATTTTAATTTCTCTTTTAGTTCTTTCTAATATCTTTGGAGTTCAAAAAATGGTTACATTAACGGGAGAAATAGTGTGAAGAGTAGTAGTAGTTTTACCTGTTTGGTAAGAAAATATGTGCATACAAACTGCAATAAAATCCCAATGAATACCATCTCAATCAAATGTAATGATAATACTATGCATTTTATATTATATATTTTATGCAAAAGCAAACATGTCTGTAGGAGCTTCAGGCAAAAGTAAACTTTCAAATTTTCCACGCAAAAGCAAATGTGTCTAACTTTTAATCTGAAATATCATAATTAGGGGGCGGATTTTAATAACCTAAATCATTGCCAAAAATTATCAATAAAATAATCTTAAAATGTTTTTAAAATATCCCTCAAGCAGAGAAAAAGTACGTCAAAAAATGTGATCAAAACCCCTTCAGATGGAAAAACTCAAGCTGGGTACGTTGCTGATGTAATCGAGGCTACTTCTATTGCACTCCAAATGCATTCAGCTGGCAAACGCTTGGGTTGGTATGGTCTTTACCAGGAAATCTGTCTTTAGTTATCCCAAAATTGGCTCAACCGACAATGACGCTGCATCACAGGAACCTTAGATTACATACAACAGTTGACTTTACAATTTCTGAGCAAAGAAATCAAATTAGCTATTTAGGAATTTTGCATAATACATTTGTTGCATCTCATAAATATTGAAAGCAAATGCCATTAAATTGATGTTAAAACCAATGAAATCAGTGAAAAATGGTGTAAGAATGAGAGGATAGGAAAAAAAATGACCTAGTCGGAATTAATGAAAAATGCAAAAAAATTGACATGTAAAAGTGGGTCATTGCCTTTTTGTCTTAAGATTAAATTAATCTCTATACTAAACAGCATTTTTTTATAAAGTAGACAAGACATTTCATTAAAATCTGCGTCCTAGTCATGATTATAAAGAACTGATTTGATAGCAGTATATGTAGACTGTTGCAACAATACCGGTAAGCAGTACAGCATAATACTTTGAAAACGTGATAACATGTCAACAACAATCAGTTTTCCACCGTTTCTGAAAAGTGTGATTTGATGGACATGTTATTTGTATGAACACTCATTTCATGAATAGTTAAAAAACAAAAACAAATTGTAGATGTATTATAGACTTGTCTGCAAAATGTAATCCAAAAATCATCATGGAAAGGTGTAGTCAGCTTTGCTATACATGTGATGTGCATCCAAATATAATATGAATTAGAATGTGTTACTTATACATTACAATACACTTATACTCTGTGGGCTTTGACTAGTATTAACCGCATATCTAATGCCAAAAATGTGTACATTTACAATTAACTGAAACATTTTAACCTAAAAAAATTAAATTTGTCAAATTGTCTTCCACCCCATGCCTGAGTAACTTTCTTGAGGATTCTTGGTATCTTATTAATGAGATTTTCACCAACAATAATAACTTCAATAAATTATTTTACAAAATCCATATTTTTTAGATTCTGAACCACTATGAACAAGAAACTGTAGTGTTCAGTTCAAACTCGGTAGCACACAACAGCAAACTGTGGATTTCCCATTCACCTAACACTTTGCATCAATGAACATTCTTATGCGGGGTATAAGAATCCCTAAGTACTTTACAGTCAACAAGTAGTATCAAAGACTCGCAGAACTTGGAATTCTGACTTCATTACATAGAAGATGAACTTACATGTAGGAATGAGATTTATATACTTTTTCAATATTACAGGCTTTGCTAAAATTTTTTTCTGTAGAAAAATTAATCCCCGCTACCTCAGCTTTACAATGTTTTACTGTAACAAAAATATTTCTTTGCGCTGAAGTAAAAAGGAAAGAAACTGAAATAATGGGAGGAATTTTTATGATTTATTGAAAATTCCTGCTGTGTAATATATTGAAGATGGCAGGAAATAGCGTAGTTTTAAATAAAGATTTTGCATGCATGCTTTTGTTACGAGTAACCTCCATCTAGTGTCAACATGTTCCTGCGAATACCATCAATTCAGTAATTTTTGTGTAATTTCACCTGATACATTCTTTGCGATTCACAACTTTTACTTCTATTTTGTTTCAGATAGTCAAATAGAGCTGCAAATAATGTATGCTGGGACCAAACTGGCCCTCCAAAAAGAAGCAGGCTTAACCCGTGTGTATGAAATTCGTGAACTTGATGAGCTCACAGAAGATTGGTTAAAGGAGAAGTTAAGGAAGTGAATTACAATGAGATGACAGGTTGTAACACTTAATTCATTTAAACAAGACAGTAACATACATGACACAGGTAACTTATCTCTAATACTTTTTGTATTGTTGCCTTAGCCTTGTTACTGTCTTGTTGCTGAATATAAGTGATAGGCCAGATTTTGGTAGTTTGACATACTTTTAACATTGGCATGTTTTACATTCCATCAGTTCAAGGTAAAAATTTATTGCACTAAGTTTCAAATACAAGTAACAATGTTATGTCAGACACAAATTTTCACAGGTTATGCTATGTGTACAACTGGAAGAAAAGGGAGGGGGGATTTTTGAGATGCAACGTTTGGGAACATGTAAACAAAACAATACATCAAAATCTAAATAACAAGGACACTGGACAATTGATAATACAACTTGATGATGCTTCCAGAAATATCTTGTGTAGTTGTGGATGTTTCACGTTGTGATCAAAGAGTATATCATTCTGCAAGAAAATTCACGAGAGTCAATAATGCAAGTCAGTAGCAATAAGTCCTTAACTGATACAAATTACATATTCACAAGTTATGTTTAAATGTTACAAGCGGATTTCTACCCAAGAACACATGGCCCAATAAAATATTAAAATGGCAGGAAATTTAATATTTATATTAATGTTTCAGGAAGAGACTGAAATAATAAAATGCAGTGAGAAAACAGACAATTCTCGGGAGGGGAAGAGAGTTTGCCTGCCATCATTTCATAATGATAGATTCTTTGGCAATTCTAAATCTTAAATCCAATATACGTCATGACAAAGCAAGAACCAAAGTTATGCGGGTCAACTATTTAAAAAGTCATTTTCACCTTGAATTCATTTACTTTTTAATTTGGTGTAAATAAATTTTGCATTTAATTACAGTTCCTAATTTAGTTAACTTTCTACTGGAGGTACTGCTTACTCAAAGTTCAAAGAGAAAATTTTGGATTAATAAGCTTTAATAATAATAATTGTACAATAATATTTCTGATCATAAAGTTTTGTAAGTGCCATGGTATAAAGTGCCATAGCATCGTGGAGAGTTGCATACAATATAATGTATTTTCTGTAAATTGACCAACTTACAAGTACAAATAGAATTGTGTGGTTATTTATACTATTCTGCATACTTTTTGACGAGCAGGTCTCGTAAGAAAATAAATAAAAAAAAATTGCTAAAGATAATAATTGAATTTTATTAGTTTGGTGCCATATGATTTATTTTGCTGTAAGTTTGGTATATCTAGACAAATAAAACAAATAAAATCTGACAGCTGATTATTGTAATCATTTTCTAGTTTTACCCTGTCTTTTTTTGCAAGTTCTCAAGTTATAAACATTTCTGGCATTTTGAAACTTGTGAAGATGGATTCAACAACAAAATTTACCTATGATGCCAAAGTATTGAATTATTCATAATTTAGATTTCTTCACAGACCGTAAATAGAGCCCTGATTCTACTTTTGTAACTAGTTATGCATACAAGTACACATCACTGTACACATAATTTAGCCAAAGTTATATTCTAGAAATGGATACAACTCGTAGACAATGACCACTGTGACAAATCTACAAGTCATACATTGTACTTCTGGTTGTATACTAGGGAGAGAAATGAATGAATGGCAATTTTGTTGAATTTTGCTAATGCTTAATTTTAGACATGAACACAGCTAGTAAGCCATAGAATAGGAATGGTAATTAGTTGTCTTTTATTCTCACCCACCCTCTCTTTGGTGAGTGAAGATAAGAGCTCACCATAATTGGATTAGAGATGTATAAAAAATTATAAATTTATAGTTGTTTACAGTATAATTCCAAGTCCTAGGGATTTTTTAAATTTTTTTTTTATGAAAATATTTTGAAAATTGGAGTTTATAAAAAGTGTGTGTTATATCAATAACATAACCTGATCTTTTGGTCCTATTTGCTTCAGATACAACCTAGTTTGTAATGTGATATGTGTTTATTTTAGTTACTTACCCATACAAGTAGTAGAAAAATGATAACAAATAAAAAGCAAGCTTCACCCATCCTTCTCTTTGGCATTTTGCAAGAACATCAGCATTCATGATACTGGTTGGATCATATAGGCCAGCTCCTGTCATAACTGGTCTACTTCTGTACCTGAAATAAATATTTTTAATTATATATCCATAGAGATTGTTTCTCTAATTAAGAAACAAAAATTATTGTATCAAGGATTCAATGGTGAAAAGATAAAATTACTAAAATAAAAAGTAATGCGCAAAATTTTAAAATAAATATTATTTTTTATACCAGTGGTTGAAAATTGATTTCCTTTATTCAACTAGAACATCTGTCAAAGAAAGGAAAAGACTAAAATTAGTCGCATCATTAAATGTATCTGTATGTAAAGATATCTGGCAGTATTTACAAAAAGAAACACAAAGCAATTAGGTTGATATTGCAAACTCATGACTCACGTGTTTGAGTCTAGTTTCATATTTTCACAAGAGCCTGGGAAGATAGTGGTCAAAGGAGGTGTAGTCAATCATATGGCACATCAGGAAGGAAGAAAGGAAGGTGCATAAAGGTGGAATTCTGGAACATGCAACATTAAATTAGAGGTTTCTCAACAAAAAAAATTCTTTCCTTAATTATTCACACTACTAATTACTACAAATCTATTGGTAGCTGTGCAATGCACTTTCGACATCATAGGAGAATGAGAGTTACAAATCTGTTTCTGCCGAATTGCACTGTCCTAGAGTTAAACTATCATTCCATGACCAAACTGGAATTAATGTACTGATGATAAAATTCTAAAGAAATCTGTTTCTGTGTACCACATTTCAGGGCATCTTACGTACCTCACAACCACTTATTTTAACAAAACAGCCATCACTATTTCATATAATTTGGCTGAAATTGAAAGTACTAATAACAATTTGCAGGCAAGTGTGTGGAATGTACATAATTTCCAATTTTTATAGTTTGCAGTCAATTCCTGCCTCTAACAATAAAAACCTTGTTCAAGCAACACCACAAAATCTGTGGCCTATTGATAATATACATTAAAGATTCCACAGTGAGAGATGGCCTTGTTGGTCAGCTTGTTTTCGAACCTTTTTTCCCACATAGGATACATAAGAATTTTAATGAAGCAAGTTATTTAGGGGAATGTCAAGTAAATTGGTTTCCTTTTATCTCCATAAACCCTACCCTGTATCAAAACTGATAATCAAGACAGTATTTTTTTAAAAAACTTTATAGCTGTTAAAAGGAAAGTGGAAAATAAGCTTATTCAAATCATGGTTAGATAGAACAGGAAATGCCCAGAAATTAAAAAAAAAGAAACAGAAAATAAAACTTTAAGCATGTTTTTTTAAAATGTTGCACTTTATGAAGTACACCAGCATTGTAAATGAAAACATTAAACAATAATAAGTCAATTCAAGAAATTAAAAATCAATATAAAAATTACAGGAAATATGTTATGAATGAAGAACGTGAATCAATCTTCCTCTTCACAAACATCTACATTGATTCATAGTTGGAACACTTGAAGAAACTACTGGAAAATCTTGACTTCAAAAACAATGGTTGTTTAGAAGTGATGCCCTCTATCGAATTGTTGTGATTCAAGAGTTGGGGCATTAACTCCAAATAAATTTATGCAGAAATCCAAATCCTCTTCCGAATATAAGTCTTCTTTCTTTCTTTGCCACTTACCATTCACTTTTTCATCTTTCTTAAGCTTCTTAGCTGGGTTAGGTGCTGCTCTTTTTTCTGCACATGTTAAAATGCTGCGTTTCATAGGATTGCAACTTTATTCCATTTCTTTGTGGCTTCAGACTGCACAAGACCAACTGCATTTAATGAAAACTGATAGGGTCTTTGCAAATAAAGCAGCTGGAATATCTTGGGCTGATACACCAATGGTACAGTGAGCTTCTATGACCTCTTAGTGGTTACCTTGTGCTCTACATTGCACAAAACTGACCATTTCAGCAGCAAACAATCTTTTGCACAGAGCATGTAGTAGTATCACTCCACAAACTCTTTCAATTTATCATCATGTAGTGTTTTATCGCCTTTAATTTTTTGTCAAGCTTACCAACCAGTCTATACATGTTAGTTTCTTGATTGTGTATGCAACAGAATAAACCGACTTCTAGCTAAGTGTGCAAACTCAATTTCATTTTCTGAAACTTTAAAATCAGACTTTCTTGGAACTGCTTGGTATGATGTCACAAAACTAAAATGAATGTTGTTTATAGCTAAGATTTGGACTCTGAATTTGAATATGAAATCAATTTTTGCCTACTGGCCTCAGTTTTCTTGAAATAATTATAAACGTTGTCATTGCCAACAATAGTATTTACTATAAGAGCAGCTTTCGATGGCTTAGCCATCATCATCAGTTGCCTGCTGAATGGAAGCCACAAAAACGACTACTTAGTCCAACGATAACGCACCACAATACCTATACTCAGTTTTCTTGTTACACACTACTCCCTATTTACGGAAATGCTTGAAAACGCTGCAAATTAGTTATTTTGCTGTATCTTCATTTAATTATTACGCAGATCTAATTGTTCAGGAACAATCGAAACGTAAATAAGGAATTCCTATAAAAGACACTGATTCAGAAATTTCATCTTTGGATATCAATACGGTTTGGCAACATTGCTGATAAGTCACACTAGAACAGATAGAATTGTATTGTGTTTCTTGCCTGTTGTGTCCCAGCATCTCAGAGATCTCAAAATGTGGAAAGTGCTTGGATGCTGCTTGTTCTTAGTTCATGCAGGTTTGTGCTTTGTATTAATTTACAAGAAGAAAGTCTTGTAACTGCGTAAATAGCACAAATTTATTGTGTTGTGGCTGCAGAGAAATAACTGACAAAACCTGAATCTTAGTGCTCCAATAAGAAAATCTTAGAACTTTATTTTGAATGTAAGGTTGGCGACCATGACCTGAAATAGACCTCCATATATGCTATGTGTCATTGTTAAACTCCTGGCATGCTGATTAAAAGGTACACAAGACATGCTCTTTCTGTTCCCATGTTTTGGAGGGAAACAATGGATATAAACAACACACAATTATATCTGTCAGAAAAAAGTAGCTGGAATCACCCCAAAATAATGAAAACTGTGAAATATCCTGAATTACTGCCTGTAATAACATAGTGACGGATTGCTGGTACTCCTGTCTCTTGAGAATGCGACTGTGAGTGCAGATGAATGCTACAGTGACGAACATTTAGACGACAGAGTTAGAGACGGAAATATCCATGTTGACCAAACATTTCAAACCTCCTGAGACTCAAATGAACCACATTTTTTGTCTTACAGGGATCTCAACGATCTTGTTCGTAATTTAAATTTGTTGAAGCAACAGTCTGAGCTTTTAGCTGTGCAACTAAAATTATGGAATTTTCTTTTCCCCTGTACAAAACAGTGTTTTTCAAAATTGCCAAATAGTTGTTTTTTTTTGGTGATATCAAGTCCATTATGAGTTTCACTAGGACATTCCACAAATGAGAAAGCGTTATCAAGGCAATTGAGTGGCACAATGTTATTTGACTAAACTGAAGTGCTCTTGCTGAAACTTATAAAGATGCAATGGTATGATGGGGCAAAGTATCGCAAGAAATCTGGAAGGAAATATTTTCAGGTATGTTTCATAACTTTCCTTAACACTCACGTTGTACTTAAAGTATACTTCAAATCTGTTGTTATTAGAGTGTGATATTTTGCTACATATATATCATACATATGGAATATATATTTTCCAAAAACTATCATCACATGAAAACTGAGGATGTTAAAGAAATTCTGAAATTAGATCTGGATTAAGAGTATCTTCCAGAAACAACATGTTTTGTTCTTTTTACAGAAAAAAGTTTTTTATTTTTTTGTACACCAGTGTTATTAATTGAATGTACCATCAACATACGCCACACAAACGCTAAAAGTTCTTATAATTGCCAAAACGCCAAAAGTTCTTATAATTGCTTGGCAAAAATACGAGGTCTTTCCACTATAGTTTCTATAGTACGATGTTTCCAACGCCGTCGAGATTGAAAAATTGTAATATACACACATGTAAACAGATGTATATTCCAAAGAAAGATATTAAGACTTTTGGAAATTGCAAGGGGTGCAAGTTTCACTTGTTACCCACGAAAATCAAGATAAGATATGAGAAAGAATATCAAGGTTTTCAACATTGTCATCAATGTAAGAATATTGACAAAGTAAATTAATTAAATACTTATGCTGGCGTATGCCAAAGAAAGTTCTAAGACGTACTCTCCCACGTCGTTGTGGACAAAATTCTAAGTTAAAACTAAGCTTACTAGTTCACGAACATGTTGACACACAAGTTTTTTTCCCTTCAATTTGCTGCGTAGGGTGGCTACGCGTCTCTGAATACGTTTTATGGAAGTTGAGCGCCTACTGGAGTAATCCTCCATTATTTTCATTATCAAGTCTCGTCACGTCTGATCCTGGGGTTCTTAGACCGTCACCCAATCAGGAACCCGTGAGGTCTCAAATTCGCTTAACCTTCGTGACTTCATGGACTGTAGTAAACGAATGATGCTAGCGGCGCCAGATTAGTATTTCACATTTTCCCGTGATTGCTCGTGCTTAGGTTGCAGCTCCAGTTAATCCACAAATATTTAATATTATCGGAATATACATTCTCGTTTTAATGACGTTCAATATTCACGATATTGCAGCAATATCGGTGTTTGAGAAATAACTTTGAAATCAAAGAGCACCCAACTGGCGGTCTTTTCCGCGTCTGGTGCCCTCCCAGGTATTGCACCACTCTCTTGAAACTTGCATCTATTACTGCATTTCGCCTTACGCTTTAACACGCGTTAATATGGAGCCTTCGGAGACGCAACGGTGGGGGCGGGAGAGTTTTGCCGAACGCTGCGTGGCGTCCCGAGGGGAATTCCAATTATTTTATCTTCGTCTGATGCTAGCTTTTTTTATGAATTTTGCATAATTGAAAGTATATACGTTCATTCAATTAATGACTGCATTTGATGCATTATTTCTGTTTAGAGAATTTGTTTTTCTGTGATATTAATTTTATTGATTCAATATGTACACTTGATGAATTCTTCGTGTAAAGTTGGCCGTTCTGGAAGCTTGGACAGTGGAAAGACAATTTACACAATTCAATTGCTTATTTGTGTTCATTTTGCTTTGTTAACAAATGTATTCATTTCTTTGCGCATAATAAACAATTTACTTATTTCTGGGGTGTTTGCGTTTGTGAAATGCAAATTTTTGCACAAAAAAAAAAAAAAAAAAAAAAAAAAAAAAAAAAAAAAAAAAACTTTCAAGAGATTATTGTAGCTCAGCCATTCGATATCTCGAAGGAGTTAATTAGACAAAATATGCTTTGGAACAAGAGTATATTCTATGTAACAATCTCTATCTTCAATATTGTAGTTGTAGGACGAAGTCGAAAAAACCCAACTTTTGCAGTTTTCGAAAATTACACGATTTTTAAGCCTTCTTTACGCTATCCGAGGGCAAAATTTAATAAAAAAACTTAGACCCAAAATATACACAGGCGTTTTAAACTCGGAGGGCTTCGAGTTCCTTCAGATTGATTCGGGAATATCACTAATTACGTATTCTCTAAAACTATCGGTGACCACTTACAGTGTCATTTCAAACTAGGCGCGGGAGTAAATCTAACTTAAACCTTACGGGTGAGTACGACGAAACAATGAACAGTTGACCACTTCGCGGCGAACAATACCTTCTGAGTAAAGATACGTGTGATCATCAAATTGTCTCCGATCATCAGCAATAATTGATTTCTTTGACCGTTATCCGCGTCTGCAACGTCCGGTGCGCTACGCATTCTTCCTTGTGACCATCCCTACTCGTGTCAAGGTTCTCAGCTCAGCGCAGCCTAAAACAAGAGAGGGGGACAAGCACATTTCCGAGCCCTTTTCCACTGATCTTTTTATTTCCTTATGACATCTTCAACCATTTACACGTTTATCAGATGGCTTTGAGAACCTCTTCCCCAAACGAATGTCAACAAATTGCCAAGTTAAAAAAGAGAAAATCCGGAATTAAACATATTGAAGGATATGATTACATAAGGCTACGGGGCCCTCTTTCAAAATTTCCAGAAGGGGTGGGGACACGGCCCCCTTGTGCGCACGCCCATGCTACACAGACATCGCCCTGGGCAAGACTTGTGGGGTTCGATTCCTGAGCCACAACCGCAGCAAGCTCAGCAACGTGCAATGTGAGCTGTGTCACAAGCACTCAAAGTACAGTTATTGTACAACTTCAAAGTCGTACCAAAACAGAACTGTTTCGGAACTATCATCAGTTCTTACTCACAATTCTTATCAGAGGCTTTTAAGCAAGAATTCTGCGTAAATCTAACGTGATCTTTCAAAACGACAAATTCAACATGTATCTTTACAACTATATTATTGATGTTCTTGTTAAAAAATCAACAGTTTCCCCCTAAATAACTTCAGTTCGAAATTCCTGGCGCGTAAGCAAGTGCCAGCTTATCCCCATATTCAGCTAGCAATGTGCACCCAGCGGTCATTGAACCAATTCTCTCCGCTGTCCGAGCATCGGGCCTAATACACTAAGCAGTTTGAAACAAACAGCACGACAACATAGATTATTACACCACCTAGGCACCACTCTCAAAGACTTAATCTCCAGTACTGGGCGAGCAGGAGAACGGGAACAAGTTCGTATAATCATACTTCAAATCTGCTTTATCCACTCACGTACATTGATTGATGAGCTAGCGGCTGACTGCGCCAAGGGTCGTACATTTATCTGCTGTCATTAACATTCGTAGCATATATGAAGAAATATAAATAACGATTATGAAGAAATCTTATTTCTCAATTTTTCCGTAGAAATGGTTCTTCATCGGCTAGAATATATTTTTATAGCGATTCATGGTACTTATAATAATCTATAAATTAATAATATTAACATCACACTTCAGTATTTGTAAGAGTATATCTCAATAAGACTCGTAATTGTAAACTAGAAAAAAAGCAGAAATACTTACCTCTTTATATGGTACGCAATAAGTGGTATGTTGAGACACAAAGAGAACCATTCTCCAGAGGCAATAAATAATATATTAAATAAGAGATGCAACAGGTACTCAGGCACAACCAGCTGTAAACAAGAAAGCATTCTCAACTTCAAATGAAAACTGTAATAGGAGAGCAATGCAAGCTGCTTTCTTTCAAAGCCAAACTATGCAAACAATGATAAAATTTGTTACTTCAAATAAGCAAAATGATGGGTGTAACAATGAACAATATTAGCCACATGTAGTGGTACATTGAATTTATGAGAGCAAGCAGATAGGGATGAGGAATTGGGGAGGATGAAGGGGGGGGGGGTTGAGAGAGGTGAGAAGAGAGCAAGAAAGAGGGAAAGGGAGGTCGATTGAGAGAGGGACCTATACACCCACTTTCTCAGTTTTGAAGCATGCTTTATAGGGGGCGTACATATATTTTCACCAAACTATACTAGTTTTATATTAACACTAATTTATTCTTTGGAATGTTGGTCGAGCAGATGTGCCTTTCATTGACCTACGTTGGCAATTAAAGATATTCAATTAATATTGAATTTACCACAGATCATGGGGTGGAGAAAATTACGATGATTAAATTTAACTTTACAATTCATTAACTGGACTACGATCTCTATAAAAAAAGAAATGCGAGTTATTTGGTAAGTGATCTCCTTTGCTAGAACAATTATTATTGTTACTTGAATTGTGTGGCTGAATTTTATTTTTGAGACGTAGTATAATTGTAATTACAATAGCAACAGACTTTCCTTTCGGTCATTTTTGATTGAGTAATGTTTGGATCAGCGCGCAGGAGCACGTTTCGATAAACATGGTATCGTCGAGACACGATTAAGAACATCTAGGTATGTTAAACCTCGTGTAGTGTGATTGGCAAGGTTGCGGGTGGTTAAGCTCAACACTGTGTCGCCTATTGCGCAGTAAGTCCAATGCGAAAAGTGGTCTACAAAATAATTTGTTCAAAAGTACAAGGTGTCTAAAATTAAAAGTACTTAAATAAAATTGGTTCACGGGATTGGTCAGTGAGGGTAAAGAAACAATTAGTTGTGCCAACGTTTCGAAATATTTAATTTCTTCATCAGGGCTAGAATACAAAAACAAATGAACAGTGTATGACGATAAATATTTCAATAAATTGATTCATTAATTAACACTACACCAACAATAACAACAAACATTTATAAACTAAGACAAATAAAACACCAAAATATAGAAGGTACACACCTTATATAATCATAAAGGTCAAGTCCCATTTCAAGCCACCACACCCAACTCCACATGGACTTGCTAAAGCACGTGGGTTCATCGCGCGTCAAGTGTGAATCGGGCCTTCTTTATGATTTTTACTTGACCTTTATGACTATTAGTAAGGTGTGTACTTTCTATATTTTGGTGTTTTATTTGTCTTAGTTGATAAATTTTTGTTCTCTTGTTTGTGTAGTGTTAATTAATTTATTGTAGTTTGTTGTCCTCATGCACTGTTCGTTTTTGTACTCTAGCCCTGATGAAGAAATTAAATATTTCGAAACTCTGGCAAAAATAATTGTTTCTTTACCCACACTGACTAATCCTGTGAACCGATTTTATTTTATTATTCATCAATGATCGTGAGTCTACTATGGTAAAATGAGAAGTTCATTTACATAAGAGGCATAACAGGCAAATTTTTCATTTGTGCATAGAAAGCAAAAGTCTACATTTCAACAATGTCTTTTAAATTCTCAACAGAAGAGATGTAAAAGAATTTTACTTTACAATGACTACATCTAACATTTTCGAATAATAATAATAATAATAATAATAATAATAATAATAATAATAATACATACTCATGAGCGAATAACATTTGATTATCAGAGAAGAGCTCTTACAGGTACTAAAAAGCGAACAGTTAGAATCCTAACATCCCACATGCAGTAAAAGTTCAACTTGAAACTAATGGGGTGGAGAATGAAAAGGCGGACATTGTTAAGAGCAGTAAATCGTCACCAGAATGTCACCACTCCCGAGAAATTTGTGTGTCGGAAATAATACACCTATACATTACAACTTCGAGATGCGACCAGTTTTCGAGATACGACTCGCAACGTCATGATCTTGATTGTATAATGATATTCGCTACTGACGAGATCTATATATTGTATACCCGAGTGATATTTGGAAACGGAACCTTCACATTAGAGAATTTCGCGGCCGGAGATGGTAACTACTTCGATGTCCGGGGGACGCCGCGTCCTAGGCACAAGTGCCACAGAATGGCTCCTGTGCTTAGGATGCGCCGTATCCCTGGCAGCCAAGTAAAGACATTTAAAATTCTTCCAAGTATATTTTTCCAAATGTACACATTCCATGGAATAGTGGTAGACATAGGCGAATGCAACCTCACACAAGAGGGAGGGAACTACATTTCTGGGCGCTCTACTCCGTTAAAAGGGGAAAATAAAGGAACATTTTTAATGAAATAAAATGTTTTATTACGTAAGGTTACTTAAGCTTCTTTAAAAAATCAGTGGGGCGACGTCCCTCAGCCCCCCTGTCTGCAACGCCTACGGCGGTAGATAAAGCCTACCCTCTTGGGATTGCCTTTGTGCCTGGAAGACTCAAAAGACACACTTCGCATCCGAATCACCAGTCTAAGGGGAAACATCTGTTGCTCACAATTATTTTCGGCGTATGTTGAGGGGCACACCGGAACAATACCCCGCAGCTTCACCATAAATGAATATAATGCTAATTATCTTTTCTTGGTCCCTCATGGGCATCTTTTCATGATGGCTCATGGATAGCGTGCTAGCTTACTTTAAAGCGGTCCCGGGTTCGAATCCCAGCCGGAGAAAAATTAAGCTGTAGTTTCTAACACAAATCGTTTCAACTTATATAGCTGTGTTAGAAACGAAAAAGATCAGGCAGGCCAGGTAAGCGGCGACGCGAACACGTCATGCTCGCCACATGTCCCTTACACCCAGTCGTGAATAATAAATAAAAATAGGTCACAGACCTGAGAGCACTAGCGAAAGTAGGATTAAACCTCAAATTCCATACACACATAGATCTTATTTTGACAAATGCCATTAACGGTGTTGCTGCCAGTCGAGAATATGCGCTGGGTTATGTCACATGTTACTACGAGTACTACAGTAATTTTGAAACTTGAAACGCTAAACGAATACTGACTGGCAATGTTTTACTTACTCACGGAGGGTTTGGTGATCGACCGAGTCGTACGAATAGCTGCAATAGAAAATCATCCTCCTGGTCTCGCAGCGCCTCCGACTCGGGCGGTTAACCCCCGGGATCAGCCGACGGCTACCCGCGCCGGGGCGGCCTATCCGACGCCCCGCGCCCCGCCAGACCCGCGACGGAGCGTGGAGCAGGGCGAGGAAGACCCGGCCGCCCGCGTGCCGACGGCGACGGCGAGGGCGAGGATGAGGATGAGGGCGACCACCTCCTAGACGGCTCCCCGGAGACGAGAACTCTGCCCCTCATCCCGCGCTGCTGCCCCCCGCCCCTACTCCCTCTCTGGAGAACCACATGAAGCACGAAAGGCCCACCGTGAAGGCCCTAAGGCCTCTGCCTCCCCACAGCCATCACCACAGCGACATCCCATTCCATCTGAGGATGTCACGGTCCACAAAAGAGGAATCGTCCACGGGAGGGGGGAGGGCGGTACGCACGTTCCAAACATATCGGCGGGCTAGGACGCCCCTGCACCCGTCAGAGGCGGAGAGTCCGCGAACGGCAACGTCCGGGAAGAGGGCCTGATTACGGTCAAATGGCGGGGACCGCTTGTGCGCTCTCTACGTGGTCTATACCAGGCGGCCTACGGGCGAAGACGGCAGGAGATACGACAAAAGGGCATCTTTGCCTTGGCTATGAAGAGTCAAGATGAAAACTCTTCGTACATCCTCCAGACAGGGTGAACATGCGCCCGCCGGTTTATAAATTCCAGCATGCAGCGCGAATAAACTGTAGGAGTCTATTGTATCACCAGCCCAACAGCTCGTACAAGTTCTGGCGGCGGAATTGCGTGCACCCCAGCTCGGACGTCCGCGCTAAGGAAACCACGCACACGTGGCCTCGGCATACCCCCCTCCCTCCGCCACGTGGTTCCGGCGACATAACCCAGTGCTAAGCCATGTCCTGGATGCTGCCGGGACGACGGGTGGAGCGTGTTATTCGGGAACCTGGTCGCACAGCAGGGGCATAGACCTGACCTGGTAGTTGCAATTGGCCACACCGCGATGAACATTGATGTGGCGGTCGCGGTGGCTCACAGGGGAAGACTTGAAACAGTATTTAACACAAAAAAGAAAAGATAGGGTAGGGCAGAGCTCCTGGGCCGGCAATACGGGTTGTAGAACACCTTCCTGTTGTGGTAGGGGCTTTTGGCCGGTTGTATCGACGCGACCGTTAAGACATTCACCACCGGCGACAAACTCGAAAAACTACAGGACCGGATTGTCGCTGAGACCATTTCGGGTAGCGCTGCACTACGCCCACGTCGCCAGAGAGAACCTGGTACAGCCCGAGTCCGGAGCCGGCACCCCCCGCAAGGACCTGGCGTACGACGGCCGGCCCTCCCCACCCGGCACCGTGGAGGAAAAGCCCGCCCGAGTGCACCGCCGGTCACAGTGCCTGCGTTTGCCCCACCGGGCAACAAGCGGGTGAGCTAATGCAGACGAGCGAAGAGTGAAAGCGAGCACGAGTGCGACAAACAAATCGTGAGAGATTCCGAGAACCGGCGCAAGTTTACGCTGAGCAAGTAAAAACCTACATTACTTTGTGGTAAAACATTTTCCGCCGCCGATAATTGAATTTATTTCTCGCCTGGTTGGGCGCTCTGTGGCATTGCAGTGTATAATAGGATAGATTTCAATGTTCCTTCGCAATAGTTATTTATGATTTACTCGACCAGGAGAACTTTCTGAGGGTGTCTGGCCGCTAGGTAGGAGTTCACCATTGTGCCGCCAAACCTGCCAAGGCGCGGCGGTTAGGATCGGTTGTTTGAAGGTCGCAACCCCCCTCCCGGCAAGGTCACCTGTGCGACGGCCGTGGCAGAGAGGGGAAGAGTGGC